TGAGTTTAATATGAATTTCGCATTTCTTATAAAGTTGTTCTTATTGGGAAAAAATCAATCAGATTGCAAATTTACAAATTTTTATATTCCAGCTGTACACTTGCAGCTCTGATGGGTTCTCAGTCATTGAATTTTTCCTTTTAGTGTTTTTGTGATGTTGATGGTTGTGCGACAGTTTGTTCCTCGCTGTATCTATTTACAATACTAAGGCATCTTTGCAAATTCAAGTGAATTTGAAACCTTTTGGTACGAAGATATCTTTTTGTTCTTCGTCAAGTTTTATCATGAAAAGATGTATTCTTGATATAGTCATTTGTAATTTGATTATGCATATGATTTTTACATTTTGGATTTTCTGTTCATTGTTTTCCTCTTCTTCCTTCATTTATCTACTTTTTAATTCTTTCTCGAATATGGAATTCTATAGGCCCTGAATGGGAAACTGTTAAAAGCCAAGGATAGAAACACAAAAAGGGATATTAAGAGGGAGCTCAAGGCTCTTTCGAAAGAAGAACGCAAAAGGCAGCAGCTTGCTGTGACAGATGTAATTAAAAATGCTGATGTGGTGTTGACGACCTTGACTGGCTCATTGTCTAAAAAATTGGATGGTACTTCATTTGATTTGGTTATCATTGATGAAGCTGCTCAGGCACTTGAAATAGCGTGTTGGATTGCTTTGCTGAAGGTAATTTTAGAAAATGGACACAAAACGCGAATTGCATGTCCACAAGCTTATGTATTTAAACTGCATATTTGTTGTGGTAAACTTAGACAGGAAGCTGTCTTTTCATGTCTGTATTTTTTTTCCATGTCTCTGTTGTTTTTACTGATGAAGTCCTAATTAGTAGTATTGTTCGATTTACTTTATTAAGGTTCATTGCTTTTGCTGTTATAAGCACTCAGAAGGATTATCTAAGGACAAGACTGAAGCAAGTATAGCTATACGTTATATGAATTTTGAAAAATGAAAAAAAATCCTAAATTTCCTTGCATCTGTATATGGAGATTTATTTACAGTTCTTCATGAGGTCTTGAGTTTAGGATGGTTGATATAGAAAGTTAGAATATAAGCAGATCATAGTGGTGGTGAATGCCTGTAATTGACCCAAGAAGATTTAGAGGGAAATAATGATGTCTTGATTTGACTTGTTCTCAGAAGGGATTCTGATTATTCTTGAAAGTAACCAACATGTGCAATTTATGTCAGATGCAAGAAGAAAATAATTACATTTGACAATTAAAATAAGCTGGACTGAGATGCTGCACTGGTAGGTGATGACTTTGTTTTTCTAAAAGGAATAACCTTTGCATGTGGGAAGAAAATGTCCCTGATGTTACTATGCGGAAAGAGAGATCCAAAGGCCAGCATGTAGTTAAAGCTATAATTAGGGAATGTAATTAGGGAATGTGGGAAGTGCATTTCAGCTATGTTCTTTTCACATACTTGAAACTGGGTCAATGGGGGATCTTTTGATGGAGGCAGCTCAGAAGCTTTAGGAAGTCTTTGAGTTGAAGTGAGTCTGTTGTCAAAGCCTTACTTTTTGTAGTCCTGCTTGCATCAATGTTATGATTTTTTTGGCTTTTGAGGTCACAGACTAGAGTGCAGTGGTTTTAGATGTACTAAGTTTTGCTCAATTGGCTCAGATCCAGCCATGCAAAGGTGATATTTCTTTGTGATGTGCTTTTTTCATATATTATAGAGACATGTTGCAGCTATCAACTGTTTTGCTTTTCTTCTCTGTGTGCCCCATCTTTTTCTTTTTCTTTGGTGGGTATTGTGGCTTTGGTGGTTGGTGTGTTTTGGTTAATTTGCTTTTCTATATTACATTATGTACGAAATAATTGTTTTACATCATGAAAAAATAGGGATTCAATATGATGGACTACTTGTGGCAGGCAGCTCTGAGAACAATTTTTGATATTGCAGGGGTCAAGGTGTATTCTTGCAGGTGATCATCTCCAGCTTCCTCCAACCATTCAAAGTGTCGATGCCGAGAAGAAAGGACTAGGGAGAACACTTTTTGAACGACTTGCTGGATTATATGGAAATGAAGTCATGTCCATGCTCACTGTCCAGTACCGCATGCATGAACTTATTATGAACTGGTCATCTCAAGAGCTTTATGACAGTAAGGTGCTGAAATTATATCTGGTGCATTAGTAATGCAATTGTTTTCCTATAAGGCGATGCTTGCTTATGGAAAAGTTGACAAAAAGTGATCCATTATGCTGATGTTGTTTTCTTCTTTATTACAGATTAAAGCCCACCCAAGCGTTGCTGCACATATGCTATATGATCTTGATAGTGTGAATAAGACACCTACAACCGAGTCAACCCTTCTTATCATAGACATAGCTGGGTATGGTGCTATTGGTGCTATCTGTTAGGTTGCATGTTTCATGGAATTTTTGTAATAATTGCTAAGAAGATGGTCCAAAAACGACTTTTATTGAGTTTTAGTTTCTTCATAGATGTAGAAGCTGAAAAGTGTAGGAGTATCATTTGTCTCTTCATTTTACCCAAAGAAAAATGTACATTTTGTACACAAGCCAGTACAAATGCCCTTCATAACTAAAAGCCCCAAATTGTATCCTGCTTAAGGATTAAGCATCCTGGTGCACCCTTTTCACAAAGTTTTATTTACTTTTAAGTGTTATACAAATTAATGTTGGGCTCCGAAAAGTGATCAAGGAAGAACAACAAAGTTCACTCCACTACCATACAGGGACAAGCAAGTTCTAAGAAGTTTTGACAGAGTTGCTAATATTTTTCTCATGCAAAGCTTTCGCTTCCAGTTCCATAGCTCTGGAATTAGTTATATTGCTGGTTTTTAATGTTTAGAAATTTTAATGCACTGTGATACAGTTGTGACATGGAAGAAAAGAAGGATGAGGAAGATAGCACATTAAATGAGGGTGAAGCTGAGATTTCCATAGCCCATGCAAGAAGACTTGTTCAGAGTGGGGTTCAAGCTTCAGATATTGGTATTATTACACCTTATGCAGCACAGGTATTACTTATGTTCCATAAGATACAGTTCCTGATGACTTAAGGCTGATATGATTCCATTGTATATGGTCCTAATGGTCTTGCTTCTTTTCACAGGTTGTCTTCTTGAAGATGTTGAAATGCAATCACGACAAACTAAAAGATATGGAGATCTCTACTGTTGATGGCTTCCAGGGTCGAGAAAAAGAAGCCATCATCATTTCAATGGTTCGGTCAAACTCAAAGAAAGAGGTAGTCTTGTTATCTTCATCATCTTGTTTGCCCTTGCCATTTGAGCGGCCAGTATTTCAATTTGCAAAAAGATTATAATGTAGAGAACTTTTTTTAGGTGGGATTTCTAAGTGACCGGCGAAGAATGAATGTTGCGGTGACACGGGCAAGGAGACAATGTTGTCTCGTCTGTGACACTGAAACAGTAAGTAGTGACAAATTTTTGAAGCGGATGATTGAATACTTTGAAGAACATGGTGAATATTTAAGTGCTTCAGAGTACGGAAATGAATAAGTGAAAAAGTTCCATGAGAATTTCCCTTGGTTGATGTGAGAAATATAGTTCCATATTTATAGGCGGCATTAATGCCATAATACTTTGTAAGAAAATCACATGGTGGCTTGCTGCAGATCAGCTATGACTTGAGATTAATTTAACAATCAGCAGAAAGCAAAAGTAACTTTATTAAAGGAATTTATGATGAATCTCTTCTTTTGTCATATTGGCTGGTTGTACGCCTTCTCTTTGTGTATGTTGATCAGTTATGATTCTTGTCTTCCTAGTATTAGAGCATGAGACTATCACCATCACAGAGTGATAGTTCAACGGCATCAGATCCTCGAGAATTCAATCAAGCTATTTTAATGATAAATATTGTGCGAGTCTGTGGTAATGAATTATGAATGTGGTTAAACCTTTGGAGTGTAACTTTCATGTCCTTTAGGGTTACTTGAAAACTTGCATAATTTTGTGAGAAAGTCAAGTATCCCATAGGTATGTTTTGGCTGATGTTTATATTTCTTCCTTTTACTGAATCATAAATGTTGGGCACCGATGCATGTATTATTGTTTTATTTTCGTGCGCATTTAACTTGACACTTATCTGCTGCTGCTTGGACGCTTTATGGATATTCTTTGATTCTTTGATTTCAATTTCTCGGATCAGTTGTAGACTATGTTACTTGGCTTTCCTAGGTTTTATGGACCACCAATGGTCAACTGCAAAGATGAAGCATAAATGGGTATTTAATGTGAAAAGTTCTTTTGAGTACAAAAATGTGACAGATATGGGTTCGAGTGTTAATAACCTATTACTGAATAGCAAGGAATATGATCGCGTGCTTGCCTGCCACTAGTTAGCACCTAATATCTTGCTCCTCTTCTACTCCTGTGATTACACTTATCTAGTATTTGGCGAAAAAGTACATGATCTCTCTCTCTCAAGTGCCTTCACCCCCCCCCTCCCTCCCCCGGGGTCCCAAACCTTCCTTTTCTCAGGAGATCTGCTGCGGAGCTATAAACATATAGGTATAAGTGTATTCTTGGATGGTCTTTACTATTGGGAGCTAATATGTCCTCTGCTGGCTACTTCAGAAGTTCCAAATGGATGGAGGAAAACTGGGATCGTCATCATTATCATTGTCGACATGAAACCTACTATTTTCCACTAGCTGATTGTCTTCAATTCCAGGTAGTTCACTTGGCGTTTCCCAGTTGAAAATATTTTCAGGAAGGTTGGTGAATACGTCATCGTCTTTTGGTGAGAAATCTTTATCAATGAAGTTTGAGGGTACTTCACTTACATCAGGCTGGTCCTCTTTTTTAAGTATTCCTAGTTGCTGAAGGAATTCATTTAGATCAATCTGAGGCTTTTCTTCTTGGTTTAGTGACTTGTTTTCCCAAGGGTGCTCCACTTCGTCATTTGCTGAAATTATATCTGGTGCATTAGTAATGCAATTGTTTTCCTATAAGGCGATGCTTGCTTATGGAAAAGTTGACAAAAAGTGATCCATTATGCTGATGTTGTTTTCTTCTTTATTACAGATTAAAGCCCACCCAAGCGTTGCTGCACATATGCTATATGATCTTGATAGTGTGAATAAGACACCTACAACCGAGTCAACCCTTCTTATCATAGACATAGCTGGGTATGGTGCTATTGGTGCTATCTGTTAGGTTGCATGTTTCATGGAATTTTTGTAATAATTGCTAAGAAGATGGTCCAAAAACGACTTTTATTGAGTTTTAGTTTCTTCATAGATGTAGAAGCTGAAAAGTGTAGGAGTATCATTTGTCTCTTCATTTTACCCAAAGAAAATGTACATTTTGTACACAAGCCAGTACAAATGCCCTTCATAACTAAAAGCCCCAAATTGTATCCTGCTTAAGGATTAAGCATCCTGGTGCACCCTTTTCACAAAGTTTTATTTACTTTTAAGTGTTATACAAATTAATGTTGGGCTCCGAAAAGTGATCAAGGAAGAACAACAAAGTTCACTCCACTACCATACAGGGACAAGCAAGTTCTAAGAAGTTTTGACAGAGTTGCTAATATTTTTCTCATGCAAAGCTTTCGCTTCCAGTTCCATAGCTCTGGAATTAGTTATATTGCTGGTTTTTAATGTTTAGAAATTTTAATGCACTGTGATACAGTTGTGACATGGAAGAAAAGAAGGATGAGGAAGATAGCACATTAAATGAGGGTGAAGCTGAGATTTCCATAGCCCATGCAAGAAGACTTGTTCAGAGTGGGGTTCAAGCTTCAGATATTGGTATTATTACACCTTATGCAGCACAGGTATTACTTATGTTCCATAAGATACAGTTCCTGATGACTTAAGGCTGATATGATTCCATTGTATATGGTCCTAATGGTCTTGCTTCTTTTCACAGGTTGTCTTCTTGAAGATGTTGAAATGCAATCACGACAAACTAAAATATGGAGATCTCTACTGTTGATGGCTTCCAGGGTCGAGAAAAAGAAGCCATCATCATTTCAATGGTTCGGTCAAACTCAAAGAAAGAGGTAGTCTTGTTATCTTCATCATCTTGTTTGCCCTTGCCATTTGAGCGGCCAGTATTTCAATTTGCAAAAAGATTATAATGTAGAGAACTTTTTTTAGGTGGGATTTCTAAGTGACCGGCGAAGAATGAATGTTGCGGTGACACGGGCAAGGAGACAATGTTGTCTCGTCTGTGACACTGAAACAGTAAGTAGTGACAAATTTTTGAAGCGGATGATTGAATACTTTGAAGAACATGGTGAATATTTAAGTGCTTCAGAGTACGGAAATGAATAAGTGAAAAAGTTCCATGAGAATTTCCCTTGGTTGATGTGAGAAATATAGTTCCATATTTATAGGCGGCATTAATGCCATAATACTTTGTAAGAAAATCACATGGTGGCTTGCTGCAGATCAGCTATGACTTGAGATTAATTTAACAATCAGCAGAAAGCAAAAGTAACTTTATTAAAGGAATTTATGATGAATCTCTTCTTTTGTCATATTGGCTGGTTGTACGCCTTCTCTTTGTGTATGTTGATCAGTTATGATTCTTGTCTTCCTAGTATTAGAGCATGAGACTATCACCATCACAGAGTGATAGTTCAACGGCATCAGATCCTCGAGAATTCAATCAAGCTATTTTAATGATAAATATTGTGCGAGTCTGTGGTAATGAATTATGAATGTGGTTAAACCTTTGGAGTGTAACTTTCATGTCCTTTAGGGTTACTTGAAAACTTGCATAATTTTGTGAGAAAGTCAAGTATCCCATAGGTATGTTTTGGCTGATGTTTATATTTCTTCCTTTTACTGAATCATAAATGTTGGGCACCGATGCATGTATTATTGTTTTATTTTCGTGCGCATTTAACTTGACACTTATCTGCTGCTGCTTGGACGCTTTATGGATATTCTTTGATTCTTTGATTTCAATTTCTCGGATCAGTTGTAGACTATGTTACTTGGCTTTCCTAGGTTTTATGGACCACCAATGGTCAACTGCAAAGATGAAGCATAAATGGGTATTTAATGTGAAAAGTTCTTTTGAGTACAAAAATGTGACAGATATGGGTTCGAGTGTTAATAACCTATTACTGAATAGCAAGGAATATGATCGCGTGCTTGCCTGCCACTAGTTAGCACCTAATATCTTGCTCCTCTTCTACTCCTGTGATTACACTTATCTAGTATTTGGCGAAAAAGTACATGATCTCTCTCTCTCAAGTGCCTTCACCCCCCCCTCCCTCCCCCGGGGTCCCAAACCTTCCTTTTCAGGAGATCTGCTGCGGAGCTATAAACATATAGGTATAAGTGTATTCTTGGATGGTCTTTACTATTGGGAGCTAATATGTCCTCTGCTGGCTACTTCAGAAGTTCCAAATGGATGGAGGAAAACTGGGATCGTCATCATTATCATTGTCGACATGAAACCTACTATTTTCCACTAGCTGATTGTCTTCAATTCCAGGTAGTTCACTTGGCGTTTCCCAGTTGAAAATATTTTCAGGAAGGTTGGTGAATACGTCATCGTCTTTTGGTGAGAAATCTTTATCAATGAAGTTTGAGGGTACTTCACTTACATCAGGCTGGTCCTCTTTTTAAGTATTCCTAGTTGCTGAAGGAATTCATTTAGATCAATCTGAGGCTTTTCTTCTTGGTTTAGTGACTTGTTTTCCCAAGGGTGCCCTTCGTCATT